GAATGCCTTCTGGGTAGCACATTCCTCCGCACTGAGTTAACACCAAAGAATGGAACAACATACATCTTTCATGATGCATTTCAATTAGCAACGCTGGAGTGTAGAGTTTCAGAAATGGCATAGATTGCTCTGGAGACCAACACAGCAGTGCCACACCTAGGCGCAGATCAGCTCTCTTATCAGAAGGAGAAACCACATAGGAAGTTTCTCTTCCCACTCTCGGAATGACCTAAGCAGCACGAACTTGGAGAAGGCCATGACAACACAGCACGACGAGAGTACTAATTAATCATTCTGCACTCAGAAGTTCTTTAATGACACCCTGGGTTGAAGAGTATTTTCCTATTTTATAAAAAGGAATGACAATACAGAAGGTCGCAACAACAGAGACACCTCCACTAAAGTAACTGCAGCCTTGTCCCCACAGTTCCCAATCTTCTCCTCCTCTCATGCAAGAATCAACCCTGCTGCTACAAACAAAACATATGGCTGTGTTAAACCTGTTGTTCTGAAACATTATTTTGACATTCCTCACCCAGCTCCTGTCGTGATGCTTAACATCTATGAGTATCTACTTTCTAGAAATAATTTGGTTGCAATTAATCATTGCAATGTTGACAAGTCATTAGGGCAATGGACAGAAAGCAGAACTGAGTGACTCACTTCCTTTGCTACCAGGTAATTCATTTTACCCTGGTGTCCTCTCTTCCATTGTGTATGAAGACTGTATGGTTCAGATCCATATGAGCACTGTACACTGCAACAGCGAGTATGAACCAATTTATGTCAAGAGACTCTAAGTATAGAAACAAAGAGCCAAAACGCCTCCCTCTCAACATTGGTCATGAATGATTTGGTGTAAGTATATAAAAATAATTACATAAGTATATAAAAATAATGCAAGCATAGTACAGAATATAAAATAATAAAAATATTTCAAGCATTTATTTTACTGTACTTTCCTTCTAAACTTTAGTTGATTATGTATTTCAGTCACATAGCCAGAGTAAGCAGATCTCAGAAAGAAGAGATCCTCCCATGCTATTACCTGATCTCTCTACATAGCAGCACCCAGAACAACAGCTTGTATCCAGCAAGAATCACAATCACAACCAACCATCTTAGCCTGCTAGTAAGCAAGTCTGGCAAAATCTTCAGCATGACAGCAACACAGGAGCTTTGCTTTGTTGCAAAGCAGGTTTTACGTAAAGCAAACAAACACAAAACCACAGTTAAGAGGTTAACACACTCTACATTTAACTAATCTTATCACCTCCTCCTGCAGACACGTGCTCAAGTGGCAAATATCAAAGAGAAATTTAAATACTGCAATGCATCTTACCTTGTTTCTTCAAGTCGAGCTGAATGTGCTGAAAAGAGAGTGTTAAATAAAACTTAATTTGTAATTAGGTTATCAGTTAAATACTAAGAATATTATTAAAAATAGTTTAGAACCGCCTAAAAGTAGGTGATTAAAAGCACAAAAGTCACCTGTATCCCATGTATAATGTGTGGAAAAAAAATTTCTAAATTGGAAAAATAAAAATCTGAAGAGCAAACCAATGATTTGGATTTCACCAAGCATCTGAAAGTATGCATGGAGGTCACGCTTGACCTATGCAAGAGTGGGAAAAAGAGACAAGGAGAACATCACATGCTCTTGGGTTGTAACAACAGAGTGCAACTCCTGAAAACAATGAAAAAATCTCAGTGATGAAAATTTCAAACTTGAATAATAAATTTCAAATATTATCATTAGAACATCACTGTTTCCTTGATCCAAGTTTTCCATCTTCAAACAGAGAGCTATTGTGCAGTATTTGTGGGTAACATCTGCTAGGTAAGCTAGAATGACATGCTTCGGACACAAGTGTTTTCTGAGAAAAAAATGTGGTCTCCCAAATAAGTCACAGAACACCTAATTTTGAAAATTCAAGAGGAGGGTAAACAGCTACAGAATTCCTACACAGTACCTGTCAATGATATGATTACTTGATTCCCACAGTGGATTATAATTCTCAAAATAGAAGGTCAATAGTTTACCTTTCATTTGTAGTGTTCGTCTTGAATATCTCTTGCTGGGCCTCCTTTCAAAGGATGCTGATCTCCTGGCTTTGTTGGTCTTGGTGGTTTGATATTCTGTTTTGCCACTACCAATGACATGTGAAAGTACAAAACATTAAAATAAATCACTTAATTTTAGTGACAAAATGCAGACAGGGCTCATTAAAACATCCCATTTCTACTTTAAATTCATAGCTTAATAATCTGATCTCAGTTCTATTTAAAAAGTCCCAAACTAAACACCTCAGAAGGCCTTTCACAAGAAAGAGGTGGAGTCTACAAACATCCTAACCATCAAGTCATTTTCTCAAGACAGAAAGCTGAAGCAGTGACTCCTTAAACATCAAGGTGCTGAAAAAGCACATTTGCCCTTTGTGTACTTCTGTGGTCATGCTGTTTGGGAGAGGTTGAAAATTCTGCAAGAAAGTAAAGCTGAAGTGATGTGGCCAGAAGTCATAAGAAAGATGGTAACAGGACTAAAACCCAGCATCTCGATGCTCTTGTTCCCAGGCAAGTCTTTTTTCCCCAAGTTTGGCCAAGTTTTGCCCCCCAGGGCAGCAGCAGCCTCATGTTCTGCCGACTCCTTGGTTCCACTGATCCTTTCTGAAGCAGGCTCGATGGCATTGCTACAGCTGCTGGAAATAGAAGCAAAGCCTATGCATACTGCCTGGGGTCACAGCCTGGGCAACTGACAGCATCCTGCAGACTAGCTGGGACCACGAGCCATCCAGTAATGCCTAACATGGGATGGGCATTATCTGACACTTCTGAATCACTGCCACCACTCAGTCAGGAACTCAGGGGTCAAAAGACGTGAAAGGTCCTCAATTGTGCAAGTCAATCATCCATCCTCTATGGCTCATTTAAAAAAGGCTGGGCTTTCAAGATGTACTGTAAAACACAATGTACTATATATGCTATGTAAGAAATATAAACCTTGAAAAATCCTTGGTTTCCTACTGCACAGACCAGAATCACCTAAAGATAAATCAGAAAATGTACTGGGGAAATCCATATGATTTAATAAAACCAATAAAGCAACCCAGTCAGCTTGCAAGTTTCATTGCTCTGTATGTCCTAGGTGAATAATTATTAAGCTCTCTCCTGTTTCCATGCATAATCCAAGAAAAGCAAGAAGTGACAGCAGATACATGCTAAATGACAGATCTCACTGACCTGTATCGGAACCGGGATCCTAGCCGAATGAAGCCTGACCGACTTGAGTTTTTTTGGACGGGACCTCGGAGCCGGAAGAAGGCATGATGCTCCACTGCACATTTCCACAAGTGTTTGCAGGCTTTGGGATGATCCAGTCTAAAGACAAAAGTGTGCTCCTGCTCCTTTCCCTTAAAGCACACAAAGCACACTGACGATTTACAAGAGGCTTGAATAAGTCAAAGCTACAACTCAATGCAAGCCAAATTAAATTTGGATTTTTATGAATACTGAAATGTTTAAAAAATATTTTAGGCAGAAAAATCAACATTTCAGAAGCTTTAATGCTCCATTAAACTGCTCCATTCTCTGAAGCTGGAAAGGGCTAGATCTCGTATATCTAAGTGAAACCCCTGAATAACTACAAATTAAAAACATCATAATAATAGGAAGATACTTCTCAATGAAGCTCACATGGTCTCACTTCCAAATCTTATCTCCTCAAATTACCAATGTTCACATTTTTCTGATCTCAGCTCTGAGCATTTCTTCCCATGGTGACAATTCTGGCACCTGCTTAAGGAATTCATTCCACTAAATGTGGCCATTTTTTGAACTTTCTTGCACAATGCACACCGTTTCCAAATTATCTGGTCTACATTAGATTCACAAGGTAGTCCCCTTTTAGAAACAGAGTAAGAAAATAAGTAATTGAGCCTGTTTACTTTTTAAGAAGCCCCTTCTTTCCTGTCCTCCCTTCAAGTCACAACCAAAAATCTTGCAAAGCATCCATGTTAACTCTCAGAATATAAAAAAAGATCAGGAACATGTAAACCAGTACGGTATAATCAAGACTGAGATGTAAACCGAACAGTTATCTACCTGTTCGTCATCCTCAACAACAACTAGAGTGAGTTTGTTCTTCTTGAAGTCAAGTCTTGTTATCTTTGGCCTGCAAGATGAACAGAAAAAGCAGGTTATATCTAACTCTCTTAGCAACTCACTGAGAGCTATGTTCAACATGCTGGTCCAAGCCTCTCTACTAAATTTTTTTGTTCTTCTCTTTTTTGTGGGTGATTTAAATTCATGCAGTAGGGCTCAATTATACTGTGGTTAACAATGTATTACTGCAAAATTTAACACTTAATTAGAAACCTTAAAGATAAGAAGTCAGCAACTTTTCAACAGATACTTCTATCAGAACTTGAAAAAATAATTACTTGAACTGAAATCCAGCTCCACCCAAATACTCCTGTTTGCCTACTCTTCCATAAGCCCACAAAACTGTAATCAGAAAGACACAAAGGCAGGCCAAAATAACTCTGCTTTATTACAGAAATGTAAAGCATTGTACAATATATTACAGATCCATCCCTGGGATGACTGTTTCAGAAAATCCTCGCCAAAGGGAACAATGTGAACATGACACAAAAATGCAACCTGCCAAAAAAATACCCAGCATTGATGGTGGAGAGACAAGACACACAGATAACATTTCTGTTACAAAGTGTGTGTTTTTCCAAGAAGTTTGTAAAATTGGACTGGGCTAACCCAAACTAACTATTCATATGATGAAATTTCACCTCATCATCTGCCTACTCATTCTTTGTATAAAGTTTTGGAACACTGGATGGGAATTCCAGAATAAAACACTTAAAAATCCATAAATGCCTGCGTACCCAGACCCAAACATGCTAGCTGGAAGGTTCTCCACCTTGTGTTTTATGCAATATAAAGCCCTGCAAAATTTCATCAGAATGCTTCTAAGAAACTGCGGGGTGTTACTCAAGTATTTGACTATATATAGATCTAGGTTGTGGGGAGGGGTGTTTGGAGTTCTTTGTTTAACTAGTTCCTATCGATGGGCAGGAAGGGACACTTCTGCCCTTTACTGGGCACAAAGAGATTGTCTTAACGAAAAGCCCACCTAGATGATATTATACGTAAAAACTGCACTCGCGCTATTGCTTCTGCCTCCTTCTCAACACCGAGGTGTAACACTCAGCCAGAACACCTGAAGAAACTTCATTTCACTCACCGGGTGCATACTCTACTTCCCAAGCAATCTAGTGCAAAATACAGCAACACACACACACATCATTCAAAAAAAATAAAACAAATTAAAAAGCATCCTGAAGTTATTCCATCACTTACTTGCCTCTAGCATATTATACATAAGCAGCCCATTAACGTATCAACCAAGAATGCAAAAAAAAGAATATTTTTGGACACCATGAACACACTCACGGGCTACAGAATATTTCTGCAGGCACCGAGCATTCACGGTGCTCTCATATCCCAAGCAAATATATTTTTTTCTGGTGAAAAAGAAACAAAAGGTTAAAAATCTAAAATATATTTTAAGGCACAGAGAACTTACCAGAAAAACAAACCAATCTTTGTGTCTCCTTCAAAGACAAGAACTCCCGTAGGTGTCAGTCCCAGGCTGTAATCATTGCCATCTCTTGCCTAATTGCCATAAAATAAAGATTATGTTCATTCTGGTGTTCGACTCTTTATCCAAATGACTCCCGTAACTAATGTAGCTTATTTGCCCAGTGTTACTTTTAAACATCTGCTTATTTTATATAACAAAACTCTCATGTTTCAGTGATCTTATGCAATGGATTTCCCTAGTTTGCAAACCTTCAAAATAAGGCTGTAAAGTGGAAAATTAAAGTTTCTTCATCTCTCTGTGTAATGAGGACCTCCTTGTGCAGTTCTCTGCACTTTCTTCTCCACAACAAATTTTTATTTAATGTTTCTTTTCAGTTGGTAGCTGACTGGACCTCAGCCAATTTTAATTTAATTACTATGATTCTCACATAGTTCTTAGTCTAAATACAAACACTCTAGTACGTATTGCCACACCAACTACGTATTTAACACAGAGAAAATGTCTGGACTAAAGTTATACCTTCTAGAAATACTATAAAGTGGAATGCTGATGCAAAGCCAGGCCTGTTCCACGGTTTAGATGAGTGCAATATTCCCTTTCCCCACCCCCAAAGCAAAACCAGTGTTGAAATGCAGGACAAAGCTAACATTATCATTTCCAAAGGTCACCATGCTGTGGTTAAACATACCTTGACTATGTGCATGTCTACACCATACATTTCCAGCCACTTAGCTTTGTTTAAGTAGTTAGTTTCAGCCTGTGCTGGTGTTTGCCCCCTGAAATAAATTTTTTTGCTGTTAGGTAAATGCCTGAAAAAGCACAGAAAGGAAAAACTGGTATATGAGGAAAGAGGAAAAGAAAACGCTTGAGAGTTTGAGAAAAACCTAAACACTGCTGACACTTGTTCACTTTCATGAACATCAAGGTCACTTTTGGAAGTTTTAATCTGAAACTGCTGCTGCAAAAATTATTGCATTTCATGATTCTGCAACCTCATCATTTTACTCAGACCTTTGAAAAACTCCACTTTTCATATTATATCCTCTTACAAAACACAACTCAATTGTATTAGAATTATGCTTCTGAACAAGACCACGAAAGAAGTGTCAGCAGCATCTTTTTAATACATTCACTTCACAGAAAAATCAGTGGCAAGAGCTGGTCAGCATGCACTGCGAGATTGGGTACCTGCACTCCTTCCACTTCTCAAAAATGGCCAGCTCCATCTCCTCAGTCTGAGTGGGAACAAACCTGAACTCAGACACCAGTTCGGGGACATGTTCTGCAGGATCATAGTCTCCAAGTTCAGCTACAAAAGAACAGCACTGTCAAGAAACAATCTCAATAAACACAGCAGACATTAACAGGAACTTCTGCATACTTTTCTAGTTAACCTAAAATACTACATTTCTTTTTGTGTCCCTCCTTCTCCTTCAGTCCTCCTAATATTTGAAGTGTCATCTTTTTTGACAGGAAAATTACAGACATGGAACAAATGGTCGTACTGTCTGCACAAAGACTTTGCATTAATCATTACGAAGTGCTATTGATACATTCCTTAACAAGCTTCCTATAAATGGAAGTTAACAACATCCTTTAAACTCACCGTATTTTTTTCTTGCGGAAAGTTTTCAATATTTTTATCACTGAAGTCACAATTGAATTTTGTCTTAAATTACTAAAACAAAATTTCTTGAGATTTCTAAAAGGCAAAAACCAGTTCTGACACTTTTCATAAAACTATTTGTCCATTCTAAAAGTGAATTTCTGGTCTTATGACTATAAATCCTTCTATCCTGCTAAAATTACTCTGTGTTGGGGCACAATCATGCAGCTGTTATTTGTCTCTCTCATTTTCATCTAAGAACATAATAAATGCCCTACTGGGTCAGTCAAATGGCTCATCTAGTCCACTCCTGCATGCTCAACAGGGGCAATACGAGATGCTATTGTGAGAGCATCCTGGAACATAGCAGTCAATGGGTGTGCCACATCAAAAGCACAACCTCCTTTTTTCCACAGATGCTACCAAGACCAGCTTTTAAAGACCAATGTATGCCTAAGATGCTGAAACTCACAGTTAGAAACCTTTACAAAATGTCCTGATTTTCAGAGTCACTGAGCATCCGCTCCCCCGCACTGATTTCATGTGGCTTCTTGATGTTCAGCTCATACCCAAAAAAATTAGGGCTAATTCTGTAACTTGGAACTGGAGTGTCTGATACAGGCCAGTAATAGTTCTGTCTGAAAAAATGAAACTACTGATTTGTGTAGGAAAAAAACAGTAACACCTTTGGGAAGACCTGGAAAAGTCCAATAAACATACACAGGATTCCATAGGTACAAAAACCCCATAGGATCTAAAAACCCCGTTTCTTAGACTTCTGAACACTGCAAGCATAATAATAGTCTTTTCACTCCCTCCTGTTTCTCTTTTCCTCTCTTTTTTTAAATGCTGACTGAGGAAGCCTGTAGTTCTATAATAATTTACTCCCACTAAAACGCCTGCCTCTGTTGAAAGGAATGCTGTCAAAGCCAGCTTAGGTTCCAGCTGATTTAAATAAAAGTACACAGCTGTCAGACAGTAAGATTAAAGCCCTGCTACGGGCCTCATTGTGGAGAGAGGAAAGAAAAGACCAGCACAAAAAGCAAGGGATATACAGCCTAATTAGATCGCTTTGTTTTCCCAAAAACTTATCCACTGAACCTGTATCTTAAGGCTCTAACAATGCAAATATCTTTAACTACAGAATGTATTCTAACTGCTTTCCTTCCACACAAAAGAGCAGGGAAAACAGGCAGGTGTCTTTACAGTTTACTTCCTACTGTCTATACCTTCACACAATCAGTGTCATTAGTAGAAGAACAAAACATGTTTCGGAAAATATCTGTAAGAGAAAGAATTTCAATTACATCGTCCTGTTACCCAACTCCTGCAAAGTAAGTGCAACAATGCATCGGTTTGTAAGATGAATGCTGTGAAGAGAATCTGTGCAGCACAAAGGCATGGCACAGCTCCAAATTCCCTTCTCATCACAGGAGACTGTACAACAGCTTCACACCAGAAGTTCTGCAACTTTTTTTTTTGCAGACTCAAACTGTGTTAAATGAGGCCACATAGCTATACACTCCAAAAAGAGCTCAAAAGCCTACTCTCGCAGATACTTACAAAACTTCAAGCCTCCTCTCTTTCCTTTGAGAGTTCCCCTGCTTGAAACCACAGGAAATTTCACATTTATTAAGATCACACCCTCATCCCAACAAAAGAAGACATTGGCCATGGAGATCAGTGATGTACAACCTGTACAAGCAACTAAAGGTCAGACCACAGCTCTCAGAGAAGCCATAGGAGCTGGAGTCTCAACTGGAATCAAAAGTTGAAGATTAAGAGTCTTGGATTACTAAAGCATAGTGGTGTATAGCTGAGAAAAAAACAACTATATATATAAAAAACTATATATATATA